AGGAAGGCTCAGGAATGTGATCCCCTGTAGTTGGAACACACCCTGTGGTCCCCCTTTTTAAATAGGGTGACCACCACCCCGGTCTGCCAGTCCAGTGGAACAATATCTGGATGCTACAGTGAAATGTACTTATCGACTTGTTGTGCGTGACTCGTCTTCGCTGGTCATCTAGAGTCCTCTGGTGCTGACCAGTAGCTGGCAGCAGCCGTGAAACTCAGAACTGTAGCGAGAGTCACAATAACCAGATTAGACCACAGGATGTCATTCTTACATCATTCCTACATCATGCAGCTTTAACAGTTGTAAGTAGTCATTAGTATAGTTGTTCATTAAAATGTTCCACTGTGTCTGGGACATTTGGATCTAAGATTAGCTGTCAGAGGGTTAGGGTTGATTCTACGCTGGTGGAGAGTGATAGGGTTAGGGTTAGCGAAGCAGTGACCCTCATGTTTACTGACCTCTTTTCCTCAGATTCCCACAAGTCCTGCACCCCCGCCCCAAAGCACTGCCTGATCCAGAGATTAAAAACAGTCATTATTCTTTTTGCCTTTCATGTTAAAGTCAGTTCTTCACTGGTGAAGTGTTTTATTTCCTCTGATTGAACGTTTTAAAATACCACGTGTGAAAGTCTGTAGTTTATTTTGCTGCACACTGTCAGAATTAGCTCACTTTTCTCTGACTCTATCCAATTTGCACATACGGTTAAATTCAGCATGCTGTTTAGTCCGTCTCATTGTAGAGTCGTGTTTTTATCTAAAATGGTGTGCTTAAGTTAGCATATTGAGTTTCTATTTGTAATTGTGTGAAGTCTTGCAAATCGTAGTCGCCTGTAAAAAGCAGCTCTATTTAATGCAACAGTTTGACTTCCACACTGACAGCTGATGGTTTATGAGGTACAACCAGAAGGGAACATCAACTTAACAAGCATTTATACTTCACAGCAGGAATTCACAGTCTGAATACAAGACCTGTTCTCCGTCATCAGTGCATCCATTAGACAGGGGCACAGAACCCACTCATCTGATCCAGAACACATGTCCAGTGTCTTTGTGTCCTGAGTAGGCTGCAGCTTTTCTCCACAGAGTTGATATATGGCTTCCTCTGTGTGTGATTTAGTTTCAGGTTACATCCCGGGGAAGCAGCAGCAGACCGCTGAGTGACGACAGTTTTCAAGATAAGTCCAAACCCGAGTGGTTGTCACTGTTCACAGTGGCTTTTACACAGTAACTATGGTTTCTAGCCCAGGACACTCATTCATCAAATGTTGGTAGAAACTGTTGTTTATTCCTTCCTACGAATAAAACTTTAAATATTCGTACAAACGGCCAAAACGCTGATTTATGAAACATCTAGAGGCCACTCGTACACCAATAGACTGATGATAAATTTCACCTGTGCGTACCCAGGTTCTTGTGTTTCTTCAGTCATTTTCATACAGAAACACCCTCAATTAACCATATTTGGTCACACCACTTCCTCTAAAGTTCATGAGAGAAATCCCTGCACTCATCCTGAAACACAAACATCACAAAACATCAGCGACCGTGAGATCGAGACACCGGTCTCCAGTAAAGAAAGAGCGCCTGGGAGAAAATGGCCGAGGTGGTAAACACGGTCAGGACAGAGGAGAGGTCTCTGTCATAATAAAGAAAAGAACATTCTGTTGTCATTTATAGTTTACATTTATTTGTTATCATTATTATTGAGTTGGGTCAGTGATGGTTGGACTCCACCAGGGCTGCACTTTTTCCTTAACCATGGATATGGTGAGCTGGTCTCTGACTGCAATTGATTTTTTTTTTTCACTTTACAAATGGAGATGGGAGCTCCCTGCTGTCCTGATGAAACACACCCAGTTGGTACATAGTGGACTCCTGGAACCAGTGGAATATTGTGTGTCTCTTGCTGCTGTTGGTGGAGGACTCAGAAGACGTTCATGTATTTGGAGTCATGACTACTGGGTTCTTGCTGTTTGGAGCTGGTGGGTTCCTGGTGTGTTGGAAGTGTACTTAGAGCTGACAGGAGCAATTGGCAGGACTCCTGAGCTCAGAGAAGGAATATGCCATGCTTTGAACTCAGATAATGCAAAAGATGAATTGTATGCTAGATCTTCTAAGGAGTAATCTTGCTGCAACTTCGGAACTTGCACACAGAATGGAAACTAACTTGGAGAAACTTGCAGCTGCAGTCATCCGCCCACACACCATAATGATTTAATTTACATCTATTTAAAGCGCAAGTCACCCCAAATCAACATTTTTTTGCTGATAAACTATATAAACGAGTGTCTGATTGTGCTGCAGTCAATAATTCGGCACTTTAGTCCATCTTAGCTAAAATTAAAAAATTCTGCCTATAACTGTCAGTGTTGCACCCTCTTCAGGTAAAAAATCAGCACTGCATTTGAATTTAAATCTGCCATCGCTATTGGCTAAGAGGTACACTATGATGTTAGCTGGTACATTATGATGTCACAATGTCATGAGCGTGTGTATTTGTTAGTGGCTCCGCCCTCTCGTTCTGCGAGGCAACAGCATTTGTTGCATTTTTCAAACAGGAAGTGGGAGTTGAGTAAGAATCTGGTAGGGGGTGGATTGCTCTTTAATGAACCATGAGATGTGAGATTCCATAGGAAATATGAAATCAATCTTATGGATCTTTGGATAACTTAAACCAGAAGATTGGAACTTTTTATTGCAGGGATTATGTAACCACTTCTTATTAACTCAGAGACAAGAGAAGAGAGAGTCACCTTTAAAAAGTTTAAGAAGATTTATTTCTAAACAATTTTAAATAAGACTAACTCTAAACTCTGGGTGACGAATGGATCTTGGTGTGAATGAGACGTGAGATGAATGGTGTATGTGCGAGTGATGTTGTCATCAGAACTCTCGTATCCGGAGAAGCAAGCCTGAGTGTGAAATTATGTTTTGCTCTTAAGCTATGATCGGAGTTTCATAAACACGTGAGACGCCATTTTGTCGCTCCACACATACCCTTAGGATGAGACCTCCGTACAGATCCAGAATGCCAGGTCCTCGGACCTCCACAGAGAGCATGCCATGCTTCAGAAAGGAAGGTTCCGATTGGATGAGAAAGATAAAATGTGCCATGTGACTTCTTAACATTACTGTATCAGTATGTCTAGTGCAGCTATATTAAAGTCATATTACTTATTAAAACTGATCATAACCATTGTCATTTCACAGATTGGTTCACATCTTATTATTGGACTAACACGTTGTTTGGTTAGCTTTATTAAAAACAGAAAGAGTTTGTCTTCTTTCTTCTCTTGAGCTGGAAAGGAAACAGTTTTAGAAGCAAATGCATGACCTTGAGGCTGTGTCTTGTAGATTAGTTCTTTCTGAGGAGAGAGGGTAAATAACCTTCCTTGGAATAGCTCCATCACTTTACAACACACATCCACACGCTGGTGATGATGAGCTGCAGTGTAGCCACATCTCCCCTGGGTTGCACTGACTGAAGCAAGACTGCCGATCACTAGCGCCACCAGTCTTTCCGACCACCACCGGCAGGTAAGCGGTGACCTTCGCTGCTAACTAGGGATGGTCACGGGCCAGTTTCAAGCATCTGGGATGAAGATCAGCACCTCCAAATCAGCGGTGTTCTTTACTGGTAAAGGGATTGCACCGGTTGGAGAGTTTAGGTATCCTAAGGTTGTGTTCTCTTTATTTGTCATTGTACCAGCGTCGCGGTACAACAAGATGACAGGTTTTTGCTCTTAGTCCATCGTGTATTGATCACATTTTTACCATATTTACTTTCTTTTCAGCAACAGAGAGGGCTAGAGCCCACTGACCAGTTTAGCAACCTTTAAACGAGGCGTGTGCTACAGCCCTCTCTTTTGCTACTGATGTCCTTCAGCTGTGCAGCACCTGATTCAGGGTTGGAAGCCACACAGAGTGCCTTGATTTCATTAGTTTATGTGATGTCATTTTAACAGTTTATAAACTACATTTCCCCTCTGAGACATCTTCCAACAGTTTGTCAGCTCATCTTCTATATTTATTGGTTTTAGCTACTTTCCTTCTCTTCTTGCTGCCTTGGTGGTGCTTCTGCTGCAGGGTGGTGATTCAGTCAAACGGGGTGAAAGCAGAGGTGGAGAGAGTCTGGGGATGGGCCTCTGACTGGTATTTGTCCTGGAAGAAAAGTTCAGAAAAGAAGGAATCTCCTCACTAAAGCCTCTCCCAGTTTGGCTGATTATCGGGTGTGCTGGCTGCTGCTGTGGTGGTCAAATGAGCTGTAAATGACGCACGGTTAGACACGACTAAATGTTTGGAGACCCATTGCGTGCTTGAGAGCATGTGCATGTGAGAGTGCATGTTTCCACTTGTTCACCTGGGTGTGAAGGCTGTTTGTTTTCACATCTGTGTGTACTGTATGCAGCCGAGTGTGCATTCATTCAAAGTGAACGATCTCCAGTTTAACAGGAGCTCCTTGGGGCTGTCTAATAAATCATTCTCATGAAAATAATCCCAAGACTTAATAAGTAATCCATAACACCACCAGATATGAACAGGTAAACTGCCAACTGGTATCAACAGTGTTTTCCTGGGAGAGATGAGTCACCACACACACACACACACACACACTAAAACGGCTTTGGTTGGAGCGGTCCTGTTGTGTTTGTGTGCTCTCTTGTTGGAAGGGATGTTTACCAAACCTGGGAAATCTGAGTAATCGTGTCATTTCATTGTAACATAGATCTCCATCTCTGTGTCTGTCCATTTTCTCATTCATCACATCCCTCTTCAGCTCCTCTTGTTTTCCTCCTCATCTTTCTCAAAGCTCATCTATCCCGGGTTTACCCTACATGAACCCCAAGTCCAGGTTTTCCACACAGCACTGACATCTAATGTCTGCAACAGTCGGTCCTGTTCTACTCCTCTGTGGTCACGCTTTAATTGCTGTTCTTCCAGCTGTTGTCTGATGGTCGCTAGATGGACTAATTGGCATTTCTTCTCCATCTGTGTTCTTAGATCCTGTTCAGGCTGCTTCTGTGCTGCTGGAGATGAAAGATGTTGTGGTGAAAACAGGCCTAAGGGGCCGGAGCCGTGTGCTGCTGGGGCCATTCTGCTGCAGCAGCTCAGTGGAAGCCCGCTGGTGCCGACACAGCGGCAGTCCTGGACCTGAGCCCGGCCCTCCTAAGCTTCTGCTTGACCTGAAGGGAGGTCTGCTGCAGGTTTGTATACCCATGACATCAGCCCAGTGAGATGGTAGCTTAGGAGCCTCTATGAGTTTCTTCTAGGTGAAGAACTGCATTAACTTGATTTGGTTTTCAAAATAAAACATACATGCTGTTGTTAAACCTGACACCCTTTTTATTTCTCCTAAGTCTGCTGTTGTTTTGGCTGTGGCCTATATTCTCTCAGAAGTAACGGACTCTGCTGGGGAAGTGGAGGGTTATTATACATCTCTTTTGTTTGAGTTTGTCCTGTGAGGAGTTACATAAGTGAAAAGCCCCTTTTCAACAGAACATATTATTCTGAGGCTAAGGGGGAAGCCCCTCGCTCATGCTCAGTGGTTTCTGCTTTTATGACGTGTCCATTACCAGAACAATCACACTTAATTCATAATCAGACCACAGAATTTGTTGCTTTATCAAAACCACCAGGATTCCTTCCGATTTCTTCCTCTCAGAGTGTTGTTCCAAAAACTTTGGGGAGAAATCCCCAAGTTTTCCTCTCTTTGTGTTTAGCCATAGCCCGTCAGGCAGGAAGAGCTCTTGACGCAGAGATTCCTATCCCTCAGCCCAAACCCCAGCCAGGCTCAGGAAGGGGAATGCCACAGCGAAGTCAGGAGCACGTCAGGCTGTGTTGTGTCATGAGCGGGTGATGACGAGGAAAGCCCGGGCTGCTTCAGACTAGCAGCGATGTAACCCTGTGTGATGCTGTGTTTTGTTCCTACATTCTTCATCTTTTTTCAGTTTTCCTGTTCTCTCTCGTTGCTTCTAACAGCTCTTCTGGGGACAGGAGCATCTGAACTGCCTGACTCTGGTGGAACAGCACCTTCAGGCCTACTTCCGTCTCCAGAAAGAGGACTCAGCAGACAGTGGTCCTAAAGGAAAGGCCTGCCACACCCAACCCCCTCCCTCACCCATCTCCCCCCCTACTCGGACAGAGCACACCTCAGATGACCTTCGCACTGGAAGTTTTCAGTACATTCGGGACTCAGGTGGATGTTCATGCAGTGACTAAAGAGTTGATCGCAGTGCATCTATTTTGATTATAACAGCTTACATCCTTTTAAAACTTACTCCGTGGCGTGCTGCCTTGTTCAGGACAGAAATGTTAAAGCAGAGCTGTAAAAAGCATTTGCCCATTTTTCACATTCCTGAATGTTTCAGATCAACAAACAAAACCAATCGGAGTAAAAACAAAATGCAGCTTTCTAATGTAAACCTCACCTTTAAGAGAACAAATCTGTCCAAACCTAACTGGCGGTGCCGTCCTCAGATGCAACACCTTTTGTTACTGCTGGTCATAAATCAAAAAACAGCCACGACGGTGGGCCGTCCAGTCTGAAAGGCCTCTTCAAGGTCAAAGGTCAGATATCCCCCTTCAGGATGTTCTGTTAGAGAGCTCTTGATGCAGCCCCAGACCATCACACTGCCACCACCATGCCTGAATGTGGTCATCACTGCATGAACATATGTTTTCACTAAGTTACCTGGTCATTAAGGTAAATGTGACAAAAGTAGAAGCCTCTGAGGAGAGTCAAGTGTCCGTTAGGATGCAAGTTCTCTGAAGCGGCGTTTCATCAGCCATGTCTGTTTCCACTCTAACGGGGTGTTTATTCCTCATCCTTGTGCGTTGTGTGTGTTGTCCTTTGTGAGCACACACATTTGGACGCTCACAGCAACATTCACAGAGGATCAAACCTCTCTGGCTGCAGACCAGCCGTCCACTCTGTCAGCTGTGGCTGAGCCTTTGTTTGTTGAGCTGCTCTTTGATGCATTTAATATTCTGGCTGGGCTGGAGAACCGGAACCAGGAGGACAGTCTGTCTGCAACATGTTGTCAGCAGTGAGACAGGTCCAGGTCCCAGAGCCCTCTCATGTCCCTCCAGAGCCCAACAAAGGGACGGACCAGATTTAACATTAGAGAAAAGCCAATTACTGCAAAGTCTAATCAAAGTGTCTGGTTCGTGTTCTACTGTGTGTGTGTGTGTGTGTGTGTGTGTGTGTGTGTGTGTGTGTGTGTGTGCGTGTGCGTGTGTGTGCGCGTGCGTGTGTGTGTGTGTGTGTGTATGTACTTGTGTGTGCTAGCTGAGCGCCCCAGCGAGTAGACAGAGCCGTATTTCCATGCTTTCCTGCGTAAACACAAGCCCTAAGCAGCGTCAGTCTGGTTCTCGCTCGGTCCATCCATCCATTTTTGGCCGCTTATCTGGGGTCGGGTCACGGGGGCAGTAGCCTAAGCAGGGAGGCCCAGACTTCCCTTTCCCCAGCCACTTGGGCCAGCTCCTCCTGGAGAATCCTAAGGTGTTCCCTGTCCAGTTGTGAGACATAGTCTCTCCAGTGTGTCCTTGTTCTTCCTTTAAGTCTCCTCCCGGTTGGATGTGCCTGGAAAACCTCACCTGGGAGGCGTCCTAACCAGATGCCCAAGCCACCTCAACTGGCTCCTCTCGATATGGAGCTGATCTATTCTGAGACCCTCCCAGATGAGCTTCTTACTCTATCTCTGAGGGAGAGCCTAGACACCCTGCACAGAAGTCATTTCAACCGCTTGTATCAGCAATCTCGTTCTGTCGGTCACTACCCAACGGTGGACCAGTAAATTGAGAGCATTGCCTTCTGGATCAGCTCTCTCTTCACCACGACAGACCGGTACAACGCCCGCATCACTGCAGCAGCAGCACCAATCTGCCTGTCGATCTCACACTCCAGTTTTCCCTCACTCATGAACAAGACCCTGAGATACTTAAATTCCTCCACTATAGGCAGGACCTCATCCCTGACCTGGAGAAGGCATTCTACCCTTTTCTGACTCAAGACCATGGTCTCAGATTTAGAGGAGCTGATTCTCATCCCAGCTGAGTCACACTCAGCTGCAAACCGCTCCAGCGAGAGCTGAAGATCACGTTCTGATGAAGCCAACAGGACCACATCATCTGCAAAAAGCAGAGACCTGATCCTCAGTCCACCAAAACAGATCCCCTCAACACCTTGGCTGCTCCTAAAAATCCTGTCCATAAAGGTTATGAACAGAATCGGTGACAAAGGGCTGCGTTGGCGGAGTCCAACTCTCACTGGGAACGAGCTCGACTTACTGTTGACAATGTGGACCAAGCTCTGACACCGGTCATACAGGGACCTAACAGCCCGTATCAGAAGGCCTGGTACTCCATACTCCCAGAGTATCCCCCACAGGGTCCCCCGAGGGACACGGTCAAACGCTTTCTCCAAATCCACAGCACATGTACCGTAATTTCCGGACTATAGAGCGCACCTCAATATAAGCCGCGCCAACAAAAAAAAAGGTTTTCTACACACACACGCCACACTCAAATACAAGCCGCGGCGCAGCAGCCACATTCAGGTCTCCAGCGCACAGCACATGTATGGCCATAACATAAGATAATCAGACAGAAAGGTGCTACACAGAGGTTTTCCATTGTTGTTTTAATTTAAAAAAACAAATTTTAAACACGGATGAACGTGCCTGCAAGTTTAGAAAAGAAAACGGCACTGATAGCATTCATATTTCTGGATGGTTATAAAATAAAAACAGAACTGACACATTATTACCGGTAATCTGCATGTTTAGAAGAAAAGAACAGCGCTGACACAGCATTAATAAGCCCTGGAAGATTAGAAAATAAAAACTGCACACAAAACCTGCCTGGTTAGTAAATAAAACACAGTTGCCTACCAGAAGATGTCATTCGCTCTCATCTTCCTCTTGCGCACTAAAGCCATTAAAGTCCTCTTCAGTGTCGGAGTTGAACAGCCTCAGAAGAGCTTCATCACATACCTTTTCTGTGGCGATGTCAGTGTTGCTGTCATCATCCCCGGGTGAAGCTGGCTTGAATGAGTTCTTCCCGCTGCCGTCTCCAGCGCCGAACCATGGATTCATTTATTCCAAGCTTACGTGCGGCAGCACCGTTTCCCTCCTTTACTGCCAAATCGATGGCCTTCAACTTAAATGCGGCAACATATGAACTCATACATGTAGTTTCCATGATGAGGGGGTATGGATTTGAAAAAAATTCTTCGTCGTGCCGGCTACTTACATGTGCTAAATTAAAATGAGCACTTTCTTCCATTTCCACTTTTGACTTCCACCTGCTTCACTTTGTGCTAAAGCGCCCCCTGCAGGTGAAGGAAAATCTTCATAAAGCTGCACCTCATTATAAGCCGCACGGTTCAAAGCGTGGGAAAAAAGTAGCGGCTTATAGTCCGGAAAATACGGTAGACTGGTTGGGCAAATTCCCACACACCCTCCAGGATCTCCTTAAGGGTATAGAGCTGGTCCAGTGTTCCACAGCCAGGAGGAAAACCATATTGCTGCTCCTTAATCTGAGGTTTGACAATCTAATAGACCTTCCTCTCCAGAACCCCTGAATAGACCTTATCAGGAAGGCTGAGTAGTGTGATCCCCCTGCAGTTGGAGCAAACCCTGCGGTCCCCCTTTTTACATGAGGGAACCACCACCCCGGTCTGCCAGTCCAGTGGGACTGCCCCTGATTTCCACATGATACAGCAGAGCTGCGTCAGCCAACACAGCCCTACGACATCCAGAGCCTTAAGAAACTCCGGGCAGATCTCAAGCTTGCCAGGTGTGACCGGCTTCCTCCCCCACCATTGAAGCCAACTCGCCACCAGGTAGTGGTCAGTTGGCAGCTCCACCCCTCTCTTCACCCGAGTGTCCAAGACATGTGGCCGCAGGTCAGATGAGATGACAACAAAGTCGATCATCGAGCTGCGGTCTAAGGTATCCTGGTGCCAAGAGCACATATGGACACCTTTATGTTTGAACATGGTGTTCATTATGGACAATCCATGACTGGCACAGAAGTCCAATAACAAAACACCACTCAGATAAAGATCAGGGGGGCCGTTCCTCCCAACCACACCTCTCCAGGTCTCACTGTCGTTGTCCACACGAGCGTTAAAGTCCCCCAGCAGACCGAGGGAGTCACAGGAAGGAGCGCTCTCCAGCACCCCCTCCAAGGTCTCTAAAACGGGGGGATAGTCTGAGCTGCAATCTGGTGCATAAGCACAGACCACAGTCAGTAAATTGCACACAGCCATGGCCAAATGTTTTAAAAAATGACACAAATTTTAGTTGTCCAAAGGACTGAATGTATTTAGTTGTTGGTGATGAGCCCTTTGGCATCTAGACACCGTTGTTGTCACATTTCTGGTTTCAGGTTCTCAGAGACGGCCTGGACCGCATGAGGTGGTGTTTTGCAGCGAGACAGAAGACAGCCCGGGGGTGATGCTGTGGAGGTACCCTGAACCTCGTGTTCTCACCTTCGTCAGGATCACTCCCGTCCCTTTCAACACCACAGAGGACCCTGAGATCAGCACGGCTGACCTGGGAGATGTCCTACAGGTAGTCACAAACACTCAGCATCACCAGATCTGGCTCAGCTTTCCTGTGTCGACTTTTTATGGAAAAGCAAAACTTTATGATTTATTGAGCAGCTGCATGTTGCACGTATCACTCCATTACATCAGCTGTGCTGGGATGCATAGCCATCTGCTGTTAGGTAGGGGTTATAGGAAATGTAAGATGAGAAGAGAATCCTCACATCGCTCTCACAGCAGAACGTCACCTGCACCAAAAGAGGAGTAAACAGTCTTCTGACTGGGCGGTGAGCCATAGTGATTCCCTTGTCAGGACTCTTGTTACTGGATGACAGAGACCTAGACCTTCTCTCCAACATTGTGATCCATGGTCCGACAGCTGTGGAAGTCATCTTGCCTGCTCTGGTGTGAACAGCCTTTAGCTCCAGATGAGGTTAGGCTTTGGCAGGCTGCAGCAGCTACCGAGCCTGCAGGGCCTCAGTGGGGGGCAGGACATCCTACTTGTCCTCCTATCAGTCATCCGCTGCATGCCCATCTCCCCCCTCTCTGTCCAGATGATCACCTTCAAGAAAAACTGGGTTTCTGCTCGTGTACTTTTCGCCCCTCTCCGTAGCTTTTCCTTCGTCAGCGTGACTAACGGTTACACGTATTTAACTGGGTTAGTTGTGTTTTTTACATGGACTCCGTTAGTATTGTTACATTCAGCTGTGAGTGAAGGAACACCAGATACTTTTATGATGAGGGATGATGGAGTTTGACCTGTTTTGGTCACATTTTGAACATAACTCTATGCACAAACGGATTCTGCGTTGTGAGTAACTGTCAGCTTCCACCTAATGGAAACAAAGACGCGGATAATGTGATTAAACTTTCTGTTTATTTATAGGAACATTATAGTTTCCGTTCCCTCCCTTCTGCTGGAGGTTTCTCATCTCCACCTATCTCTGCTGCTCTCCTCTGGACTCCCACGCTCGCTGCACCAGCAGTGCAGATGTTCAGCGTGTTTATGTGTGCCGGCCCAGGAGAGGCAGCACGCTGGAAGGTGCTGCAGATGTCTGACTTTCAACTGAGGCCCCACAGCTGTAAAGTCTGCTGAGAGCACAACTCTAAAGCTTCTAGCTGATTGGCCACATATTGAGTTTCAGTGGAAATGAAGGGAGCTGATGTGTTTAGATGTAGGAGGGGTGGGAGAAGATGTAGTGATAGACAGCTGGGATAAGGAGAGCTTGGGTAATGTGTGTTAGTAACAGGAACGAGGAAGAGGGTCGAGAGGTGTGTGTTTACAGAAGCCTCAGTCAAACAGGATCTATGGAGTGCTATCCCTGTTCCTATATTTGACTACATGCGTCAGGTCTAACCCTGACTAATGCATATGTAAGGGTGTGTGTGTGTGTGTGTGTGTGTTACACAGCAGGAGTGTTGGACGCTGTGGTTGATGAACATGTGGTTCCCACATCCTCCCCTCTCGTCATGTGTCAGGGTTCGGTCCTGTGTCCTTGGAGGAATCAGGTAATGAGGGAGTCATGATGTTGGTGGTGAAAGGATGAAACTCACGGAAACGGCTCCACGCAGAAATTAGAAGCAGAAGTGTCTAGTGGGGGGGAGCGTGGAAATAAAGAGATGTTTTTTCAGGACATGCTCTAAACAGAGGTGCAGCATCGTCTGGGTCGATAGCTCAGTCTTCCTCTTTGACTGGACCTGTTTGATCCTTTAGCAAATCTTAAGTGATTTAGGAGGAAACCAGAGTCCCTGGAGCAAACCCACACCTGCAGCTGGGATTCAAACCTGCAACCTTCTTGCTGCAAGGCAACAACTGCAACACCGTGCAAGTCTGCTTTGAGGCTTTTGATCACCCGAATAATAAACTCTGTAACGCAGTTGAAGTGACAGCGTGTCGAAGTGAAGGTGAAACGTAGGAAGCATCTTTGGTGCGTTTCTTCTAACGGCTGTACTCGGTTCTCGACTACGACTGCAGTCTTCCTCAGAGCTCGCCGCTGTGGGCAGTGTCACTTCCTTCTCTGCTTATCTGCAGGCAGCAGGTTTATTCGCTGTTTGTCGTAGTTGAGACGTCAGCAAAAAGGTAAAACAACTCTTTTCTGTGTAAACAAGTCATGCAGATTTAAGAAACACCCAACAGTAAAAGGGATGCGTGAAGACAGACGGTGGTTGTAAGATATGCTGCAGCAGGTCGGACCTGCAGAACAACGTTCATACGAACCCCTTCAGACACAAACTGCTGCCATCAGCCGGCTCTCTCATGCAGCTCTTCTTTATCCAGATGAAATCAGAACTTTTTAGGCCGGCTGTGTTCGTGGTGGTTTATTGAGAACCCGGTTTTTATTGAGTTCAGCCTCAGTGAAACAATTATAATGGATCCCCTTTTATAAAACTACAAAGACTCGCTCTTTTTCTTTTTTCCTCCAAAAACCTGAAAGAGAACTTTTGATGAGAACCGTAGTGCAGCCATAAAAGTCCAGTAGTGGCTCCGTTTCTGCTCCAAAGGACTTCTCCTCTTTTACATCAAAACTGCAGAAGGAAGGAGCTCATATTTTCTCAGGCCTCTAGAGTTACCATGTGGAGAAGGGGACATTTAGGAATGGACAGGGAAAGCAGTAAAGAGAGAGCGATGGTGAGCATTAAGCTGTCTGATCATCATCACGGTGCGTTAGCTCCGAGTGGACAGGCACATGCAGCAAACCAACAGAGATGTCCCTCATGTCCCTTTGTCTCTTTGGTTTTGTCCCTCTCAGCTCTGTCTTCCTGTCTCTGCCTCCCATAACGGATGATTGGATTGGGCTGAAAGGGGCGGGGCCTGACTGGAGACCCTTGCTGCTCGCTTGTCCCCAGAGCCGATCATATTAACATTTTATAAAATCAAGATTTCCTGCATTTACATAGTTGCGGTTTCCCAACTGGTTCCAGGATCTCGGAGGGGAAATTCAAGCCTCCCTCCATTACTCAAAGTCGAGTTGCTGCCTGTGCTGGTTCTGTGTACAGCAGAAGGAGAGAGGAGTCGAGGTAATGAGGTGGTCGGGTGTCCACCTGTAGAGCGTGAGTCATACGCAGGTGCTGTCCCCCCCCCCCCCCCCCCCCCCCCACACACACACACACACACACACACACACAACGGGTTCTCAGGCTTAGGAACAGGAAGTCAAAACGGGGCTGTTGTTCAGTGTGACCCCCCAGCTCAGGAGAGCAGCAGGAGTGGGCTCGACCTGGCTCCGGGCTTTAGAAATATCTGATTCTGGTGGGTCACACCAGATTTCCTTTGTGCTCAAATGTGTTTAAGTGATCACTGCTCGCTGTTTGAGCAACTCCCCAAATGGCTCTGCCGTTTGCAGATCGGGCCATCTGCTCCGCTGCTGCAGCCTTCGTGCGTGGCAGTGGGGGGGGGGGGTTGCCTTTCATGTGCCAGCAGGGCCCAGTTGCCATCAAGGTCTTTCTGGCCCGAGACTCGTATCATAAAAGTTCTGTGGCCTGGGATGAGCCGCGACCTTCAGTGGTAAGTGCTGGTGCAGCTGCTGCTGTTCTGAGAACCGCTGGATCTGCTTCACTCCCAAAACACGTCCATGTACGTGATGCGTCGCTTCCTCCAGACGCTGCAAACATTTACCCTGGTGTTTGAATCCAACAGGGATGGAATGACATTAAACTAGAGTGAGGTGGTGCTTAAACAGGTCAGAGGAAGTCACAGCTAATGCACTATCAAAATAAGAGTCGGTCTGTGTGCTTCATTTCATTATCATTTTAATTGCATTGCAGAGCGAGAGCAGCAACAACAATGATGTGGAGAATCCCGGCGAGGGCCTATTCCTGATTTTCCACACTGATTAATGTTAACATGCATTAGCCCATCTGAGACAGCACAGCAGGAGTCATTCTCATTACGTTTGCAGAATAAACGTTTGCTCAAGCCCACGTCAATTCAATTAGTCGTTTAGCTGATAAGAAGAAGCTAGATGTGGATCTTTCCGCTGTAAAGGCCCGAGTGGAAAAGCAGCAGTGTTGATATTTTTATTAGAGTCATGATTGTGGATGTCAGCAGCCACAGTCTGAATGTGAGCTGAGGGAGTCTTCAGTTGCAGAAACATTTTTGAAATTTAGCAGCAATCACACTTGGGCTAGACAGGGAAATTGAGCTAATTTCTGTGTGTTGTGTATTTGTTTTAGCGCGCCTGCCTTTGGTTAACCTTCTGAGAAATCTGGGCTGTTCAAACAGACCCGGAGAGGGGTAGGAGGTCGGGGTGGACGTGAGATTAATACGAGCTGCCAACACTTCTGAATGTGAAATATTTGTAAACAGTGTGCTACTTAGAAATTCCTCTACGTCCACCTCAAGGTCTGTGACCCCCCCCCCCCCCCCCCCCACACACACACACACACACACACACACACTCCCCGAACCAAACTCCAAACATATTCCACTGATTTCTGCCCAAGGTACTGCTGCCTGGCTCGCTTTGTTGAATGTTGGAGGAAAACATCCAGCTGAGGGAATGTCAGCTATTCACACTCACATGTTGCCAGAGGAGGCCCACACCTGTACACACACACACACACACACACACACACACACACACACCGTTTCTATACTCAGAGTAGTTCTACTCTGAAAACACAATCCGTTTGACAGTTGGCAGGTGCCCTCTCCTCCCAAACACAAGAGCCAGGCATAATCCTTTTTTTTTTTCCATTTTCCCTCCATTTGTCGTCGTTCGTCTCAGCTCTCTTCCTCGGGCAGGACGACACATTGACAGCAACATGACGCACATCCAGCCATGCACATGTACTTCCCTGTACCATACATGTCCGTCCCTGCATGCCGTCATCCATATAGGGGGCCACAGGTGGAGGGGGAAAGCACACCCGGTGTTCTAGCTATGCTGCTCTGGGAGTTCTCGGCCAGTTTCCGCTCCAGTGGCTCGGTGTTGGGATTGTGGGTGCACAACTCTGTCAGATGCAATTATGAGAAGCTGATTCCTTGAAAAGCTGTGTGGCATTTCATATGTGATGTATGCTAGAGTTACCTCACCCATTTCTCTCCCAGAACAGCCTGATGAACGGACACACACACCGAGGAGTTGGGTCCTTAACCTGTGGTCAGCCTGCGATTCTTCAGGTGCGTCCTGAGGAGTGCCCTGCCACTTCTGATCCATCAGTAGCTGGACTCGGCAGGTGGTCATGGGAACGCGAGAAGCTGGTTTGGTTCTCACAGGAACACCAGACACTTTATGTTCATTTTGGCCCGAGGCCCTAGGAGTCATCGCATCAGTGGCTCTGAAAGGAGACGGTGAACATAACCTGTTGGTATTCAGTGTGAAAACACAACGTCAGTGTTAATGACTGTCACCCAGCTGTTGGTTGTTACATGGTCATGCAGTGTTGTGGTGGTGACGGCTTGTAGTTTTTCTTCGTTGGTGGTCCACGCTGGAAGTGCCGTTGCTCTTTTGTTTGCTTGTGTTCGGAAATCTTCAGATGTCTCTGATGCAAGGAGTCCCCATCTACTGCTGGGGTCCACGCAGCCTGAGCCTGTGATGGCTAGCAGCCCTCTGCTGCTTTATAATGTGGTACCTGTTGTGTAAGAGCAGAGGGGGGTGGGAAAGAACCATTAAGTCTGACTCTTGACTTTCCATGAAAAGCTGTCAGTTAGTGGGCGCTGGTTCCAGAGGGAAATATCTGTGGGATTCACTGGAAAACAGAATATCGGTCCATCAGCAAACCCAAACTGGGAATGTCTTCTGGCGTGCTACTGGCAACGTCCGAGATTTATTGAGAACAATAACTTTTAGAGCTTGTGTTTCAGCAGAGTTTATTATGCAGCTCTGAGCCTACAAGTGTGTTTAACAAAAGAAAGAAACTCATTGGTTATGCCGTGACTCCTCGTGATGCCGATGCCAAAGGCATTTCCTCAGAGTCCTTCAAAGCCCCCCAACTGTCTGTGATGTGTCTCATTTGTATTCGGTGGTTTTCAGCACACACTGGCTGGCTGCATGGAAACAACAGAGAAGAAAAGACCAGCATGTTTCAGTCTCTCAGTGCTGGGCTGTAACGGTTAGTGTGTGTGCGTGTGCGTGCGTGTGCGTTTGTGTGTGTGTGTGTGTGTGTGTGTGTGTGTGTGTGTGTGTGCGTGCGTGCGTGCGTGCGTGCGTGCGTGTGTTGTTGCTGTTTGGCTTCATCCTCTCATCATGTGAAGCACCTTGTTGTTGAAGGTGTGAGATGGTGAGTGAGGGCTCCTCTGTCGGGCATCACCAGCTGCCAGAGGGCTAGAGGATGGAGATGAGGTATTTGGTCATTGGAGGACAGTCGGCCATCTTGCTTTGCCTGTAGCTAGGACTCATCCCCAACACTCACTCCGAGTGCTTTTCTTGTTATTTGTGGTTCTTCAACTGTAGCGTTTTGTTCCAGGCGCTCTGAACTTAGAGATGTTTCACAACTATATCAGGAAATCTGACACAAGAAATAAATAATAATGATAGTAGCTCATGGTCCAGCCTGCTGATACCTTAACACGCATGTGTGTGTGCTCTCAGGTACCCTGTAGTCTGGAGTACTGGGATGAGCTCCAGCAGGCCTTTGTCCCATACCGAGACTTCAGCCTGTCAGAAAGCTGCTCCTGCCAGCTGCAGCTGCCCAGCCTCAGCCATCAGCAGAAGGAGCTGGTGGCGTCAGACCTGTGGAGGATCGTGCTCAATAATAACGGAGAGGCAGCAGACGAGCAGAGGTGAGGAAATAGATTCTGTTGTATTGTCAAATCTTTCTTATTTTCAGCATCCAGGTTAGCTCACACACAGGTGTGTGTGGATCCACAGACTTTGTGCTGTGGGGTGTGAGGGAGACCAGAGGCGGCTCTCTCCCAGTCTGCTAGAATGTGTCCCTTGCTCCCACATCTGGAGTGCAGGAGCAGCGAGTGGGCTTGGAAGGCCTTCAGATAGGCCTAATGAGATTTCCCAGCACACCGAGTGGCTGTCAGGGCCCATGCGGACTCCTTCCTGCTTACCTTGAGTGTATCTAATTGAGGGGAAGCACAGGGAGTCAGGCCCCTTTGGGCCAGGCTGGGTTGGACCGAACACCTCACAGATTACGGTTTTACTCGCTGACACTTCTCCCTCGTGTCGCTCAGCCTCCGGTTGTATTTCTGGGCTTTGAGTCTTTTTGTCATTTTTCTCATTCCTTTCTCGTTTTGCTTTTTGTTTCTTGTGCTCTTTGCTTTATAACTTCCTTTTGGGATTTAGGAAACCTTTTTGTGTAAAATATGTGCCAAGCCCACATTGTGTGTGGTTTAGACAGCTCCAGAGAGGAGGTCAGCGAGGAACAGGAAAAAAGGAGCAGATACTGAGAAAAGTCAAATATACATCTGTAACTCATTACAGTCATCCTCTAAACAGCACGTTTCCTTTAGCTTTAAATTATTTCTCTTTTCCTGACTTGGCTGTTTTATCTTCTGGACTTTAGTTTCAACCAGAAGGAAAATCAGAAACTACCGAACGTTTGCTGCCGTGCCCGTTGGGAGTAACGAGCAGGTTAATCTGCTGTTTTCTCCAGTGACGCAGCACAATCACGTCGTTTCTGTTATTTCCTGTTCGGCTTCATCAGTTAATGTCGTTTACCCCACCCGTCGCTTCCTCTGGACCGTTGTGGGTTTGATTCCGTTGAAGATGTCCTTGATGTTCCACGTTTTTATGAAAAATTCAGCTGAATATCGACCCTGTGTTGTTTTCACATGGAACCGACTCTGGTGGTTCTGAGAGCTTCTGCTGAGTCATCGCTGTCCGCCTCCCTTCCAGCTCAGACAGCGACTGTGGCTCCCAGCTCCCCTGTGACCAGCTGGTGTCTCCGATAGCTCTGGCAGCCTGCACCCGTGTGGACTCCTGCTTCGCACCTTGGTTCGTCCCCTCGCTGGGCGTGTCTCTACAGCTAACTGAGCTGGAGCTCCGCCTCTGCCATCACCTTGAGCAGCTGGGCACAGGTGGGAGATGAACAGGACAATAAAGTCTCACCTCTGACTTAGTAGTTACAAGTACTTTAGTCTGAAACAGAAAATAAACCAACCTACACGTGTCATCTTTTCACATGGGTGATACAGGTTTAGTAGAGTGTGAATTTTGAACTTTATGGTTTTCCTTCCTCCAGTTCCAGCTAGGAAGCTTCATCCCTTCCTTCCAGACAGAAAGTTACCTCAGGAGCAGGAGTTCATGGTGCTGGGTGCTCCAGAACCTCGGGTCTTCCTCCGCCAGTGGAGCAATGGACCACGTCATTGTCAAGATTTCAGCTTCTCCACGCAGCTTGTCTGCAAGCTGCTGGAGTACCGAAACCTGACCCACCTTCAGCTTCTCCAGCCCTGCAAGCTGCAGGTCAAACTCACAAACACTCATCCTGTCCACATATGCAGCTGAAAGTACTGCTGAAACCAAATGAACGTGTCTTTTATCGGCCTTTTAGGGACAAGCCACCGTCACCTGCTGTCCCCAGAGCTCCTCTTTGGATGTTAGTGTGTTTCTGGACCCGGTGTCCCTCAGCATCAGCCAGTATGCTGTCCACACGCTGGACACAGCCCTGCTCAGCTGGCAACAGGTAACTCTTCACTCTCATCTCCAGAGTTTTGGAAAACCAGCCACACTTCCTGTTATGGAATTGTTCACACGTTTGTGTGAAGCAGCTCCTGCAGCCGAGGTGTGGACGTCCCCTTGGTTTGTCCTCAGAGGATGCAGTACTGTCGTCTTCATGACTGCTGTGATCCCAGCATTCAGCGCTGCCTGTGTGTGTGTGTGTGTGTGTGTGTGTGTGTGTGTGTGTGTGTGTGTGTGTGTGTGTGTGTGTGTGTGTGTGTGTGTGTGTGTGTGTGTGTGTGTGTGTGTGTGTGTGTGAGAGTGAGAGTGAGAGTGAGAGTGAGAGAGAGAGAGAGAGAGTGAGAGAGTGGGCACCTGCCAAAGCTTCATCTGGACCCAGTTCCCTGTTCGGTCTCCCATTGCACACACACACCTATCATGGCTGACTCACACTGGGACCTGGAGGCCCTCTCATGCCAGGTGAACACAACCAAAGCTAACGTTTTTTCTACAGCAGCTGTGGACTTGAACGTGTGGAAAACAAAAGTAAATAAGCTGTATAAAAATACACGATCAGATGATTGTTTTGGCTAGCAGCCTTCACCGACGCTCAGCGATTGTTTGAAGAGTCGTCATGTTTCATGTGGAGCATCACAGTCCAGTCCGTGTTTCCTGGTTATTTGTGTCATAAATCAGATCATAGTGTGGTCGAGGTGAAAGGTCATCGTGGAGCCCTACGAACTGGGCGTTGTTTTTTTATACAAACATGGCCGACACCAGTAGTGACTCTCTTTGCACACGGCTACATTTATAGGTCAGATTAAGCTGTGAACATCACCAAAGTCATTTCTTTCCCCTGCGTGTTTCTGCACTCAGAACCCGTCTCTGACTTTAACATAAGCTAAAGGCTGAATCTACTGTAGACACACCGAACATTCAGGCTCATCTCAGGTCCTTCAGCTAAGGTCCCACGATGCAGCATCGTCCCTCGGGGCGGTTTGCTCTTTATCATTTAATGTCTTTAATTGCACTTTCCTTTAAATGGTTGCTTTTCCTTGTAAACATGGTAGTTAGAGTTCAGCCCGTTGTGCTGCAGCTGGTGGTGACCAGCAGGAGACGTGTGCTGCCAACAAAGCTCATTTTCTGTTGCACTTTTACTCGCGTCGTTTTTGTGAGAACCCTCAGAAAAAATGTAAAAGTTCTTAGGAAAGCCTCTCCTGAATGCTGTTTGAAATGTTTTAGCCACAGTTGCAGCCCAGAGAGAGACTGGGCCCCAGACCCAGTGGTACAATAACCAAATGTTGCTCGTGCTCAGCTTGGGTTGGAAAGAAAAGGTGTCTAAAGCTTCATTCAAATCCGGAGCTTCAAACATTTTGTTGCTGAACGCATCTGAGGGACGTAGCTAACCCTAACCAGACACACATTGGGTGGTATATGTGAACTACAGCATCTAAAGTAAATGCTCTGACCTGATAGGACTTGATATATTTCAGACACACGCGGGTGAAAACACCTCCAGTAGTAGTCAGAGACACTAACTCACGCCGTGCAACAGAAGGACATGTTTTTTTTTTCATTGATTCTCTGATTTCCTCGTGTCAGGGCCTACAGGCAGGCCTGTTGTGATGTGGTCTTTGGGGTCAGCGCTGAAACAAAGCAGATTCAAGTACAATACTACTGCAGCCTCCTCACCCAGCCACATTCATAACAGACCAGCTCAACCAGAGCACACCAAGCACTTCCAGATGGACTCACATAAAAGACTAGACTTCACACTCATGTGGCATTGTTTCATAATAATCCTAATCTGCCTTGTCCAATTGTGGGGTTTAAACAAAGCAGCTGACTTTTCTGTAGTATTTGGTTTTACATTCATAACCCTAACAAGTATTTTCCCATTTGTGACACATAGATGTTCTTCGAAGCTGAAACTTCTCCACTCTGGGCTCCTGGTGCCACTCTATCCTGGTGGAGACCACACAAAAGCCCAGTAGTACTCACCCACACGGCCCTCTCCCAGAGCAGTCACAGGCACAGACATCCACATGCATCTAGCTTAGCTTTGTTCTTCCCGTGCTGGAATACTTACCCACTTTCCTTTTCAACAGAGAAGAACTGGATACTGCTGTGGGTTTCTGGTTGTAGCAGATGTGCGGCTTTCAGAAGAGTAGATGTGTCATCACGTCCCTGCTGTCTCCTTTCCTGTGTATTTCCTTTGAGCGGGCGTCATTATTTACAGTCTGTACTCCAGACATTTTATTGTACATTGCATTTTCTGAGGGAGCCATGCAGATTTGTGCTGGAGCCCGTTAAAACTCCAGTAACTGGATCTGACTGGATTAAGGGAATGGTGCCTACTAGGACGCTGTCATCTCGGCCTCTTTAACAAGATTTATGACCCAGTTGCTTGAATTTCTTTTTATTAATATTTGTTCACATGAAAGCCTCAAACACACGAGTGAGTGTGATTATAGGAGGAAGTTTCTCTGCTGAGTGGATCACTTTTCCTCGTGAATCAGAGTCGAAAGACGACACCAACAGCAGTGGCGTCTTAAGATGGCTGCAGGAAGTGTGTAAAGCGTGGTTGGAAGGGGAGAGCAGATGGTGTTCCACTATGAAAGTAAAGCACTCTTTAGCTGGCTGCTGCAGCTGTCCATCTATATTTTACTCTACCTCGCTCTCATCTGCACACATCTGTCATCACATGTTCTCTTAGTGGTGTGGACTTTCCCATCCTCCAGTCACAGCGACATCATCAGGATCGGGAACGTGCTCGGCCGTCGGACTCTGAGATTTTACTGCCCGCCTCCGTTAACAGTCAGTCAGAAGGATGCAGCAGGCCGGGGTCCTGCTTGCTGGCATGTCGAGAAATGGTTGAGCAGATTTCTTAGCTGTGTTTTTTCGAGTGGAACAAGAGTGTGTGGATGAGTCCCGTCAGAGGGTTCAAATAAAACGTTCATCCATGTTGATGCTTCCTACAGAGCAAGTGCCAGAAAGGCTGTTAAAGCTGCACCACCACCAGTTAACAAGTATCTGGACCTGCAGGTCAGAAGAAGCAGCTTTCATTCCAATTAAACCAACATCCACACAGGCAGGGGTGGGAAGTTTTTATCAATACCAATGGCATTGTCAGTTCTGGCTATCGATCCAGTTCAAGAAGGAGGGAAAGAAAACAATCGTTTATAGAATAGAATCAACTTTATTGTAATTGCTCGTGGCAGTTAAATTACAGATGGTCCGCCATCAACAGTGCACAAGACAATAAATAACAATAAATGTCAAAACCATAGAGGACTAAAAACAATTTAAAAACATTTAGCAAACACCCAGAAAGTGCAACCAGTGATTCATATCTGCTAAAACGACAATTTAAAAGGATTTTAAACAGATTGGTCCACATTACTGATGGGGATGTGGGGGGTTGAATGTTCTGATGGCCCAAGGGAAGAAGCTGTTGGAAAGTCTGGTGGTATGTGATTTAACTGACCTGAAGCGGTGCTCTGAGGGCAACAGGTCAAACAGGCAGTGGGCAGGGTGGGTGGGGTCACGGAGGATAGCAGCGGTTCTCTTCAGGCAGCGGGTTCTGGAGATGGCCTCCAGGGATGGCAGGGTGCAGCCAGTAATCCTCTGGGCAGTGTTTATTGTCCTCTGAACAGCCTTCCTGTCCTCAGCAGTGGAGCCTGCATACCACACACTCAGAGAGTAGGTGAAGGTGCTCTCCACGGAGCAGTGGTAGAAAGCCAGCAGCAGTTTCTGATCCAGGCCTCACCTTCTCAAGACCCGGAGAAAGTGCAGCCGCTGCTGAGCCTTTTTAACCAGAGCTCTGGTGTTGGCAGACCAGGACAGGTCAGCAGAGATGATGGTGCCGAGGAACCTGATGGAGGGGACACGGTCCACACACTCTCCATTTATGAGGAGAGGGGCGTGTGTGTGACTGTGTCTTCTGAAATCCAGAATGAGCTCTTTTGTTTTTTTTATATTCAGAGTGAGGTTGTTATCTGAGCACCACCTTGACAGATTACTGACCTCTGCCCGGTACGCTGCCTCGACTCCGTCTGTGATGAGGCTGGCCACAGTGGTGTCATCAGCAAACTTAAAGATGGCAGTGGATGGGTGGGATGCGGTACAGTCCGATGTGCACAGAGTGTACAGTAGGGGGCTCAGCACACAGCCCTGAGGAGAGCCAGTACTGAGCAGGATGGAGGAGGAGAGATGGGAGCCAAGTTTAACATGCTGTGGTCAATTTGTGAGAAAGTCTTTTATCCAGTGGCAGGTGGAGGGGGGGATCTGAAGGCTGAGCAGTTGTGAGGTAAGAATGTCTGGGATGATGGTATTGAAAGCTGAACTGAAGTCAACAAAGAGCATCCTGACGTAGCTTCCTCTGGTCTCTAGGTGGCTCAGTGTTGTGTGCAGGATCAGGGCGATGGTATCCTCTGTTGATCTGTTTCCTCGATAGGCAAACTGAAGGGGGTCGAAGGTGGTGGGGAGACAGGCTTGGATGTGGTTGGAGATGAGTCGCTCCAGACACTTTGTGATTACAGGTGTGAGGGCAACCGGTCGATAGTCATTTAAGCTGTCTATGTCTATAAAGTGACTCTCGAGGTAAAACCCATGAGGCGCTTCACAAAAAACACAAAATTCAATTATAAAAAAGATTTCCATTATTAAATATATGTTTAAAATAAGCAAAAACAGACAATGTGATTAAAAATGTTAAGAAAGAAAGAGAGAGAGAAAGTGAACAGGAAGGAGGGAAACCATTGGATCCCGGGAAAGAAAGAGCAGAACGAGGAGAGGGAGGTGATGAAGGTAACACACAAGCCTGAACAGGTGAGTTTAAAGGAGACCACTGAGTCCACTGATCTCAGGCTCAGGGGGAGAGAGATCCAGAGTCTGGGGGCCACAGCAGCAAATGATCTGTCACCTTTGACCTTTAGCCTGGTGCTGCACAACCAATAGGCTTTGATCACTGGACCTCAGGGACCTGCTGGGGGTGTAGGGACTAAGAAGATCACCAATGTAAGATGGTGCTTGTCCATGTAAGGCCCTATAGACCAGAACCAGGATCTTGAAATAAACCCTGAAGTTGACTGGCAGCCAGTGAAGCTGGAGGAGAAGCGGGATGATGTGGGTGTGTTTGGAGGACTTGGTCAGACGCCGAGCACAGGCATTCTGAACCACCTGTAGACGGTTCAGGGAGGTTCTGCTCAGACATGTGAAAAGAGAGTTACAGTAGTCTAAGCGTGAGGAGATGAAGGTGTGGATAACTGTCTCAAGTTCAGAGCGGGACAGAATGGGACTCAGCTTAGCAATGTTCCTGAGATGGAAGAAGGAAGAGCGAACAAGAGAACTGACATGAGAATCCAGGGTGAGAGCTGGGTCAAAGGTCACACCAAGATTAAGTGGGCCCAGTACCAGGTACATGAGCACTTCCAGGAACAAAGTTGTTCCAAAAACATGCAACCTGCACACATAAGTAACGGCAAGAGGCTCATCTAAACGATGAACACGACCTGAACAACGACAATAAGCTGCTGGATGAAAAGCAAAAGAAACAAAGATAATCAAGTCAAAAGCATAAATTCACTCTTTGATGGTTTATGGTTATAACAATAACTGTTATAGTAAAATAAACCCTCTTGATTCATGTAATCCAATGTCCCAACATGACACTGAGCTGGTTCCTGACCTGCTGGAGAGTGTTTACAGGTTGCAGACATCACATTTCATCACTTTCTAGTTCTCCATAATATAAAAACTCCATGAGGTGTACTCAGCTGCTCTAACATTAAGAAAAGAACGGTGAGCTAAAACATACATTTAAATAAAAAAAGAGTGGTGGAAAGTTTCTGGTTGTGGGTGAACATCCTGATCTGATCTGATCTGAGCTGAGACCACCGGTTTTGGTCTCAAACCTCTGCAACCAAAGCTTCTCCTATTCTTTGTATGGGAGGGGGATCCAGCGCGCATGTGCCAGTTATAGCGTAGGTCTGTGGTAAAGATCGCTGCGCCCGAAAGGAACAGGAAATACATCACAAGATGCTTCAGTTGTGGTAAAAGTGTGAGAGAACGTTTTTAAACTACACTTAAATGCAGGTTAAACAGTACTTACAGTTTTGTGAGACTGGTGGAGCGGTGCCCTAGTGCCCCCTATGGACAAGCCACCAATGACTGACTCCCACAGGTGATGGCACCTGAACTCTGCCTTCATACGCCTAACATAACTGTCCTTGTCTCTTCCCATAGAGTTATCCATATTTCCCACATCTCCCTATTTTTATTCCTTCAGAACGGGAATCCAGAGGCAGAGGAGATGCTCTACAGCCATTATGTGATCTGCAACGACACACATGAGACTCTGCGCTTTGGCCAGGTGGACACCGATGAGAATGTGCTGCTGGCTAGCCTCTGCAGCCACCAGTACAGCTGGAGATCCCACAAGTCAGCCCAGGTAACACACCCACACATGCACACACACACATGCACACACGCACACACACATGCACACACGCACATGCACACACACGGATGCACAAACACACACAGACACACGCAGTTACACACACACACTCGGACACACAAACATACACACACGGACACACACATCCACACACATACACACACACACACGGACACACACATGCACACACATACACACACACACACGTGGACACACACGGACACACAAACACGCACACACACCTGGACACGCACAGACACACACATGCACACACATACACACACACACGTGGACACACACACATACACGTGGACACACACGGGGACACACATGCACACACATACACACACACACATGTGGACACACACACACACACACATGGACACACAAACAAACAAACACGCACACACACACGCAGTCACACACACGCCCCTGCACACACACACACACACACACACACACACACACACACACACGCACGCACGCACGCACACACACACACACACACACACATACATACACACACACACACATACACATACACACACACACACACACACACACACACACAGGCGTGTGTTCTTGGATCCACATCATCTACATGTGTTGGATGGCTTTCACACAGGAATCTACTGGCATTTAGTGGAACATTCAGATACAGTCCTTAGAGGCGTGCACACACACACACACACACACACACACACACACACACACACACACACACACACACACACACACACACACACACACACACACACACACACACACACACACCTTGATCTGAGTGCTATCAGTGTGTTCCTGTCAGCGTTCTCAGACAGTTCCCTGACAGCATTGTTAAAGAAGATTGATTATATTTAACCCTTTGTGGTTTGGAGGTTGAGTGGAGGGTGTGCTAGTGATGTGTGTGTGTGTGTGTGTGTGTGTGTGTGTGTGTGTGTGTGTGTGTGTGTGTGTGTGTGTGTGTGTGTGTGTGTGTGTGTGTTGCACACATGCTCAAGGACCCCCATGTGTCCCACATGAGTGTGAGAAAGTCAGGCTTGAGAAAAGACATGGCCATAATTGCTCGCAGTAAGTCAGTAAGTCAAGTTGTATTAATCATCGACCACGGTTAATCTGTGCTCTTACCTCACTCTCGCTCACACACTTTGTGAGTGGCAATCTGGCATATCGGCCCAGAGGAAACCACATCTCACTTTAGCAGAGTCTAAATGACCTGTGTGTTTTCATGGATATTTGGGATGAAAGATGGTGCGAGTGAGCCAGATGTCTTGACTGATGAAGAATGTGATTCCAGAATGGTTTTGTCATGTGTTATTCCATCATCTTACATGAAAAATGTCTTCATAAGACCAACAGCATTTGTGAAACTACATAAATAAGAAATAGGACAATGGTGCCAAAACGGCTTAGCTAACATTGAGTTTGGTGATAAAAAATCTGCCAAACTGTCCGCCGTAGGAAACACTCCCAATTACATTTTGGGGTTATGAAAATATTGACCCAGATAAGAGATGAGGTTATGTTACCTTAATGGTAACTGTGTTTTTGTAGCTTTTACGAGTCTGTTTCTGGCAGAGTTGTGAATGTTTGTGGTGTTTGTTCAACCCTGTGATGCTCTAGATCAGCCTTTCCCAACATCTTCTGACTCGTGGACCCCCTAAGCTGTTTTCCCGCTCCACGAGCACCCCCGTAGTCAAACGTGTTGATGAAATGAAAACAGCTGAAGAACAAGCTAAATGTGATGAAAACACAAACTAATAATAGCTTGAACTGAAGTAAATAATGTTTCTCTGAGTTCTTGACTGATGTAATCATTTTTCATGTTTTTCTTTTGCTCATGGAAGTGAGGAGTTGCTTCACTAGTGAATAACTGCAGCTAAAACGACGCTTGGCTGCATATCTGGTTGACAGTCGAAAGATAAGGTTGGAGTTTGATCCCGTTTCCCTCCCGTTATGTTGAGTGATCCTCAGATCAGCTGATCAGCGGGTCTGACGGCGGTGCTCGGCACAGGGAGAGAAGAGCTGCCTTCAGACTCGTGTTTTATTAATAAACGGGAGAAAAAGCTGAAACTTTGGAGGGAAATTAGTTCAAACTAAATCACAAGAGATGTCCGGAACGTTCGGAAGCTTGTGTGTTAAATGGACGGCATTAAGGGAATTAACGAGCTGTTAACACAGATACAGCTTTACTGTAACCCAGATTCTTTTACCGAGGATGTTTTTCTGCTCAACATCAGATGAACCCAAACCAGCTCCGTATAACCGACATTACCGCGTCTTCTTTACAAGAACTCGATAATCCACGCTCTGCTGCAGCAGCCCCAGCTGACTTGGCTTGACAACATCACGCACAATCGCGGTTGGCGGGTAGAGTCTAAATCTCTCCCAGTGGCTACATTTTTATCATCACCATATACTGTTTATACCGTGGATTACTGCATTTGGTATTTATTAAACAAAACACATCCCAGCCCGTTTTACCCAGACACAGCAATGACATCTGGCTTCTACGTACCCTCTGTGATTGGCTCACATACCACTGGGGGTGCGTGTCCTCCTGGTTAGGAGTCGCTGCTGTAGCCTGACTAAAACTGCACAGGTCATGCACTGGTTTAGATTTTAAACCACCTAAAACGCAACATGGATTCAACCTCCCTTCTATCCTAGTATTGTTAGATCTAGCTGCACCGGTTTACTCAGCCTGCAGCACCACTTGGATCACTTGGCATTGTTAGAACTGTGTGGTTAAGTTGATTAACTCGTATTATTTGTAACTTTAATCAATGAATCTGACTTAATAATAAATTGGGTAAAATACCAGGCTTTTATTTTAAGAAGGTTTTTTTTTTAATTATTATTTCTAGTGGAGTTTGAGTGAAATAAGCCGGTGAAGATTCTCAGTCATCCAGGTCATGGTTATCCAAAAGGGTTCAGATGAAGGCAGCTGGACTCCTTTGGGTTCTTAAAGATGTTTCTCTTCTCATCCGAGGAGCTTTGTCAGGTCTGACTGGAACATGGGTGAGTCAATCTTATCAGCAGTAGCTGTCTGTTGTTGTTTAACGAGCAGAAACTAGTCTGAGTACCCCTCCTCTCCATCCCCTGATGAGTCATTGGCCTCTGCTGAGAGGGAGTGGTTGTGTTGATCAGATGCAGGAAGGTGTGACCTAGACTGAAGCTGCTTAGGAATGAAATCCAAAGCTGCATTATAGGTACTGGAAAGGTTAAATCTAAGCCCCGCCCCTATTTAAAGTGGGTTTTTCACGTTTGGCATAGATAGCTTCTTTTACTCCTCTCTAATCCATCTGTCTTCTCTGTCCAGAATGTGTCCCTTGTCCTTCAGGTGTAGGTGGACTGCAGAGTCCTGACCTGAAGAGGTGGCTCTCCTGTGTTGTGCCATGCTCTTGTGTAATTGTTGTTTAGTTTCCCCGATGTAAACATCTGGACAGTCCTCACTACACTGGACTGCATAAACGACGCCACTGAGCTTCTGTTTGGGTGTTTTGTCTTCAGGATGGACCAGGTTCTGTCTGAGGGTTAAAGTTTACTGAGATGTTGTGTTTCTCTGAGACTCCTGCCACGTATGGGATGATGGTGCCTTTGTGCCTGTTGTCCTTTTCTTTGCTGGTTGCTGCTTTGGATGCTTTTCTAGGCATCTTTGTAGATTTCACAAAGGTCCAGTTAGGGTATCTGCAGTTCTGGAGAGCTTTCTTCATGTGTTTTCCTTCAGTCTTTGTGGGAATGTTCCCGGCCCGATGGTGTAAAGTCCTGATGACTGACATCTTGTGCTCCAGTGGGTGATGTGAGTCCAAATGCAGATGCTGGTCTGTGTGAGTTGGTTACTTCAGTGCTGAGACTTCCAGCTTGTTCAGTTAGCACAGCACAGTCCAAGAAAGGCCGTTGGTGGTTGTGGACATCCTCCCTGGTGAACTTGATGTTCTTGTCCAGGACATTAATGTGCTTGCTAATGTCTTCTACTTCCTTCGTGAGAATGTTGACCCATGTGTGGTCCACATACCTGAACCAGTGGCTCGGTGTTATTCCATTGTAGGAGCTCAGTGCTCTGGTTGTTGTTGTTAACTCTTCCTGTGCTGAGTGATTGGTTTGAGTGAAGTTACGATATATATCAAAAAGCTGCATTCAACACAGTAAAATGGGGAGTGAGCTGGAAATCTATTAGCTTGACAATAAAACCGATCACTGCACTTTTTGGTGAAAACTTAAACTGCCTTCAGCCAACTCTGCTGGACCAGAACCATGGGTTGCATGCTGTGGTCTACCCACTACATAATAATTACCTGACAAACTTCAACTTTCTGGGCTGCAGTTCCTCGTGGAGTCTTGAATCTGCTGCAGCTGTACCCAGAGTAGCCACTGTTGTGGATGCAGTCTTACCTCCTCGTTGTCCCTCTCGCCACCTCTGCTGTGTTCTGACGGTATGTTTATGTGTTTAGCAGATGCTTTTGTCCAATGAAGCAGCAGGTTGCCCTTGAGGCTAACAACAAACACTGATCAGTCAATCCTAGGTGGCAGTGAGGCAGCAGAATCAATCATAAAGGGAAGTGAACAAGGAGAGGACAGTAGAGTGGGGGACGGGTGCAGGGAGGGTGCTAGTTCAGAGGAAGCTCTCTGAAGAGCAGGGTCTTCAGGAGCTTTTTGAAAATCGACAAATAAGCCCCTGTTCTAGTAGTGCTTGGTAGAACGTTCCACAGATGTGGAACGACACATGAAAAGTCAGGATTGCCCTGAGCGTGGTGTAGGTGTGCTAGCCGACGATCCTTTGATGACCGGAGCGTCGGGACCGTGATGTAAGCCTTTACAAGAGGATTCAGGTAGATGGGAGCTGTTTCATCCACGGTACTATGGTGGGCTTCAGCCTGACCTTATTCTTGCATTTGAAACCCATCTTCTGCTCAGTCAAGTCACTTTCATTGTAGTCTTCACGAAAAGGTGCTCCACGCACTATAACGCTAGAAGATACACTCCTTGTG